ATATATATAAATATATAAATAAAACACCAAAAAGAGTAACCTCTCTATTGACAAATAACTGTTTTTGCTATTCTATAGATCTTGGATTCTGTATTTCCACTCCAACTCATCTGGGGACGTGGACTCACCCATGAAGTGTCATGATCCTATACCTTTGTTAGTCTCCAATGTGCCATAGGACTACTTATTGTTTTTAAAGTTACAGACTAACATGGCTACCCCTTAGAGATACAGAGGCAGCTCTGGATTTAAGCTTGAGGGACAGGGTATAGGGAACTGGTCACAACTTTCCTATCTATCTCAAAGCACTGGTATATAAGACATCAGGGTCTGATAGTAGGAACTCCAGAATTTCCTGCTCCAATAATGATAGGTGTTTATTTTAAAGCATTTAAAGTATTTACGCCTTCCCCAACTAACTCAAATCCTTTTACCTCAATGACAGCCAAATAGCAATCCTTGCTGTCCGTGCACAAATCAAAGATATTCCGTTTTACATCAATGGTAGCTAGAAAACAACACAAAGTGAACTTAATGGTTACCAACAGGTTATTCAGTGTTTGCCAAATATACAAATATACAGACATACCTGAACAGGAAGCTACAGCTAAAACAAAAGCATGTTCAGCACATCTACCTAATTTCAACCAGTAACGGAGAACATTTCTAACCTGAAAACACTGAGCTGGTCAGTTCTCATACTGATTTCCATAGCAGCCCCATCTCGACCCAACTATGGCTACTGGGTTTTCTGTGCATGGGAGAGACCAAGTCGGCCTCTCAACTTCCAGAGAGGTAGTGACTGACATGGACAGAACTTTTCTCATCTCAGCATGCGGAAGCCAGAGGCCATATTCACTAACTCCTGCTACTGCTGCACTGAGCTCCGCTCCCGGAGAACTGTGGGCTGGCAGCTGAACTGACAGACATTTGAGCTAGAGGTAGGAACAAATCTTGGTGGGAAAGGGGACTGTAGGGGAGGAAAATGGGATCTTTCATGAAGCTGCACCATATCTGCCTATGTCATACCACCATTTCTCAGATTCATGTCTGACTTCGTGGGAGGAAAGCCAGAGCAGTGACTGTGGGCCACAGAATGAGTGAGGAAAATCACGTACCAGAGCAGAAATTCTAGCTCAAGCTAGTCTAGTGTGGAAGACAAATTTGTGCCTGGAACAGGGTATATTAAGCAGAGTTTGTTTAACCCACATGAGGTTGGAAAAAAAAATCTAAGTCTGCCTGCACCAAATTTACAAACCAATCCCCGTCAACTGCACCTTCATCCTCACCTATAGGTTTGTAGTCCGTTGCATTGAATGTCCTGAAGGATGACCCAAAGGGGCTTCTCATCCTCTCCTCCAGTAAGTCATCTTCATCATCTGCCTGCAGCCTAAATCTATCAATCAAGTCTATGTTCCTTTTACAATGTTACCTCTAGTCATTTTATGGTCCAGGGAGGATCCAAATACTGATTTTTGTTTAGGTTTTTGTTTTTAATAAAACAAACATTTAACCAACACTTAACATTGATGGTTACAAAGATAAGCAAATACTGTAGATGGAAGCAGAGTCTTTCCCCAATACAGGCAGTCCCCGGGTTACGTACAAGATAGGGACTGTAGGTTTGTTCTTAAGTTGAATCTGTATGTAAGTAAGTCGGAACTGGCGTCCAGATTCAGCCGCTGCTGAAACTGATCAGTTACAAACATTTAACCAACACTTAACATTGATGGTTACAAAGATAAGCAAATACTGTAGATGGAAGCAGAGTCTTTCCCCAATACAGGCAGTCCCCGGGTTACGTACAAGATAGGGACTGTAGGTTTGTTCTTAAGTTGAATCTGTATGTAAGTAAGTCGGAACTGGCGTCCAGATTCAGCCGCTGCTGAAACTGATCAGTTTCAACAGCGGC